AAGTGTTCATACTGTCATCGGAAGGCCTGTATGAAGGCATCCATGTTGCAGAGTTCTAGTGCCCCGACATTGTAAAGACCCACAAACCAGTTGGCCGCCCGCTCCCAAAGTCGTGACCCCACATAGTCTACCTAGTGCTCATCTTAGGCAAAAGTGTGGCCTCATTCTCTCAGGAACTTCCACACCTGGATCACAAAGAATACCAGCTTCTTGGGGCTTCCATTGAACATTTTTTCCAGGGTGTCTCAGGGCCTCTTCCACTCTGGTCTCGATCCGGGCGGAGCAGCGGGGCGATCTGGGGGCTTCTGTTCTTCCTCTTCCTCCTCGGAGATCTCTCCTGTCTTTGATTTCTTCCAACTCGCCTTGTAGTTCAGCTATTGCCCGATTGGCACTCGAGGCTTTGCCCATGGTGTTGGCTACCAGAAGGCGTTCAGGGTCGTCTTGGGAGACATGAGAGGTTCACCTCTCCTCTCTCTCTGACTGGGCTTTCAGACCCCGAAACCTGGGGGTGCTCAGGAACTAGGCTGGTTCATTCCATCTGTTCTTCATCTTCTAAGTCCAGGCCCCTCCTTTCCAGTATACTGTATGTTTCCTAGATTTGGGTTCACCTTGCTTGTCATCTTTCTTGTCAAGCAAGGGGAGTGGGATCCCGGGCTCAGAGCCAGTTGCTGTACCAGTGTCTTCGGACTCGCTGGGCATCACGAACGTGGGGCAGCGGTCGAAGAATGTGGAGTACTCACACTTTGTCAGACTCCCTGGTCAAGTCACTATCAAGCACAATGTTTTTGGCAGTGAAAAGCTTTATTGAGTTAAACGAGTTTATTTATTTATTTATTTGATTTCTATCCCGCCCTCCCAAAGGCTCAGGGCAGCTCACATACGGCAAAGCCAGATACAAATATCATAACATATATAATAAAATACAATATTTAAAACCACTATAAGACCCTCCGAAAACATGGTGCTGCAATCTATAATAATGTTAATCTTCCAAGATGGGGACAATCACTCAGATTTGGTGGCAGCCTTTCCAGTAACGCGGTCTCCCACTACGGTGTCTGTAATTTCTGACTTTCGTAGGGCAGCCAATGGCATACTACCTCGGTGGTAGGATAGTGGCGGCGGCGGCTCCTACTCGAACGCCTGGCGGAAGAGCTCCGTCTTACAGGCCCTGTGGAACTGCACAAGGTCCCGCAGGGCCCGGACATCCTCTGGGAGCTCATTCCACCAGGTAGGAGCCGCTACCGAAAATGCCCTGGCCCTAGTAGAGGGCAACTTAATCTCCCGAGGGCCTGGGACTTCCAGGTGATGGGAGTTCCCAGATCGTAGTGCTCTTGAGGGAACAATCGGGAAGAGACGGTACTTCAGGTAAGTCGGACCCTGGCCATTCAGGGCTTTAAAGGTAAGAACCAGCACTTTGAAGCGAATCTGGTATGCTATTGGCAGCCAGTGCAGCGCTTGCAGTCCAGGCTGAATATGGTCTTGCCTAGAGAGGCCCAACAACAGCTCGGCCGCAGCATTCTGCACTAGCTGCAGCTTCCGGATTTGCAACAGAGGCAGCCCTAAGTAGAGAGCGTTACAGTAGTCAAGCCTCGTGGTGACCGTCGCGTGGATCACAGTGGCCAGGTCATCATGGTCAAGGTAGGGAACCAACTGCCGAGCAAGCCACAGATGATAAAAGGCCACCCTGGCAGTAGCTGCTACCTGGGCCTCCATCGTCAATGAGGAGTCCAGGAGCACTCCCAAACTCCTAGCCTCCCGCAGAGGCACCAATGGTACCCCGTCGAAGACCAGGAGCGGGAGCCCCAACCCCAATCCAGTCCGACTCAGGCCTTTTCCGGGTTTAATTTCAACCGACTCAGCCTGAGCCAACCAGCCACAGTCTGCAACGCCCGATGAAGGTCATCGGGGCCAGAGTCCGACTGGCCGCCCAGCATCAGATAGAGCTTGGGTGTCATCAGCATATTGATGACACCCAAGCCCACACCTCCGGGCAATCTGGGCAAGGGGGTGCATATAGATGTTAAACAACATTGGGGACAACTCAGCTCCCTGGGGCACCCCACACTCAAGGGGATGTCTTCGGGATCGCTGGTCCCCCCCACCCTCTGTCCCCGACCTTGGAGAAAAGAGACAAACCATTGAAGGGCAAGTTCCTGAATCCCCACGTCAGCGAGGCGGCGGGCCAGCAACTGGTGGTTGACCATATCGAACGCAGCCGACAGGTCTAGCAGCACCAGTGCTGCCACGCCACCTCGATCCAGATGCCTACGAAGTTCCAGGCATGAACAGTACTGTGTCAGTTCTAAAGCATTTTGGCGGGTACATGCATAGATATCAAAAGTTGAAACTGTAACCCCTCCTAAGGCCCACACATACGTCATGTCATGCAGCCAGGCTCCCGCATCTCTACCACCTTCCCATGGGAATATACGATCCCATTATCTACTACACAAGCTGGCACTGAGAGCTTCAAGGGCGTCTCCCTGTGAACCAGAGAGAGGCGCATCTTGAAGAAAAGGTTCCGCAGTCTAAGATAGATCACTCACACACCCCACACTCACTCTCTCCACCTAAGGAATTCCCCTCTCCACAGCGAACTAAGTAAAGTGAAGCGAAGCATGGTTTGGCAGTGGCCATGTGTCTTGTGGCCAATTCCCAACTCTTTCTTTCTCCCTTTCCTAAGTGCCACTTTAAAAAAAGACTTCCATCCTACTGCAGTTCATGTCCTGACATGAACTGGTTCTGAACATGTCACCTTTCTTCCCAGTTCTGTGACAGTTAGGCATGTTTTGTTTTGTTTAATGTAGTTGGTGTACAGCTTTGAGAAAAAATCAGTAAATGTGCATTCTGAGAAAGGATGGACACAGGGTGACCATGGGTTTTTGTTTTTTTTTTGCTGAGGGTGTGACAGTTACTATAGGCACTGGGAGAGGGAGGAGGGAACAGTGACAGAGAAGGTTGAGGGAGAAAGTAGGGGAGAGGGTATGATTGACAAGAAGGGTTGGGGTGGGGAATAAAGAGAGGGCGTAAGTAACAGGGAAGGGTGGCAGGAGATGGGAGGAAGCAAAGGCAGGAAGAAATAGGTCATCTTTTTCCTGTAAGATTCTTGCAGGTCCTCACTTGTTCCAGTCTTACTGCTTCTATCTAGTACACTATATATCCACAATGTCATTCCTTATACAAACAGAATCTTTTTTTTCTTTAAAACCTGTATGTTGATGTTTGGATAAGCCACTCTGTAAACAGTCAAGAAGAAGGGGTGAAGTGGATTTCTCTGCTAGAGTAGTTCTAGTGACATTATACTGGACTAACAGTTTTGGCTGATGCAGTTTGAAAGGATGACTAAGGAATCCTTGAATCCTGAGAGCTTGTTCATATAATCCTTTGACTCTGGCACAGATTGTACTCCTGTCTGACTGCAAATTATGCACAATACTGTGGAAATTATTTAAGAATTTATATCTATTTGAGTTCTGCATTTTCAGAAACTGTTGCTGCAAGAAGATAAACAGTCCTATAGTAACAAAGAACTGAGTACTAAAATCACAAAAGCTTACTCACCAATTAGTCTTAACTATGTTGCTCTTCAGCCTTTGAACAGGTGTTGATAATGCACACTGATGGTATCAAGGGGGTGGTGGCCAAACTATATAAGATTCTTCTAGGCATTGAAAACAAATATCCTCTAAAGCATCAGCTTCGTTGGCAGGATGATTTACACATGGTCTTACTCGCAATGGCAGAAACTTTGGAACTCACCTGCAAACTCCTCAAAAAGCATTAACATTAAATTTCAGTTTTTCAAAACTCCGGATCGTCTAAACAAAATGAAACTCTCTCATAGCGCTTTATGCTGGAAAAATTGCAGCCATACAGGTTCATACTTCCAACTGTTGGTGGGAGTGCCCCAAGATATATCCTTTCTGGTGTGAAGTCATCAGACAAATCAATGAGATTACCCTGCTTAGTTTACTCATTAGTCCTGAAATGGCTCTTCTCAACCTTATAGATCTGACTGTTGGGACAGTAGCCCTTAAAGAGCTAAACTTGATTTTATTGGCCTCGGCAAGAATAGCAATAGCCTCCGTCTGGAAACTGGCCACTCCTCCAACTATCCAAATTTGGCACAATAAAATCTGGGACCAATTTATTTTAGCTAAAATCATGAATGACATTCAACTATCAAACAAAGACTCCTCCCGTTTCCTCCGGCTTTGAATCTATTTGGTTCCATTTACTTCACTACATGACAGACAAGGATGTGCTCCCATCGAACTCTGCTGATCTTTCATGGATATGCTTTTGATCTAATTTTGGTTCATGAGTTGTTTGGGTTTCATATAGAAGACAGAACCAATTGCAAATGGTAATAACTTGCATCCTATTTTTAGTTTGATCACATGTTTGAGGTGTTTAGAACATAAATTGGAGATTTGAAAGGATAAAGGTATTGAGGAACTGAACGTTAATATGTTGTACTCACTTCTAGGCTCAATTTATTGTTTACATTGTTGACATTGGTATTTGTATTTGTTCAAATGTTTCAATAAATATTAATTAAAAGAAAAATTATGGATCAGAGAACATGATTGCTAGCCTCATTCCAGGTGCACGTACAACCTGTTTGGTGTAGTGGTTAAGTGCGCAGACTCTAATCTGGGAGAACCGGGTTTGATTCTCCACTCCTCCACTTGCACCTGCTGATGTGATCTTGGGTCAGTCACAAGCTCTGGCACAGCTGTTCCTGAAAGAGCAGTTTGTGTCAGAGTTCTCTCAGCCCCACCCACCTCACAGGGTGTCTGTTGTAGGGAGGGGAAGGGAAAGGAGTTTGTAAGCCGCTCTGAGACTCCAAGTGAAGGGTGGGGTATAAATCCAATCTCCTCCTCCTCCTCCTCCTCCTCCTTCATAGTACTTCTATATTTTGGTGTTACTATTGTGATTGATGTGCAGACAGTTCTTACCAAATACAGTAAACCTTGCTTTAATGTTTTTAACAGGAAAACTCTAGGACCATTTCAAGCAGATATAAAAGGTAAGCACTTCTCAATATATCATTTAGTTATGTACTTTAGAATGAGTATGTAATAGAATATGTTAATAATAGGGCTGCGCTATACAAAATGGTTCACAAACTTGATTGAATAAATTATGGGATTGTGGTCTATACCGCTGTGCATAGCTTACTGTAAGTAGGATGCTATTATGTAATTTTTAATTATACCATTTAATGTGTCATGTTAAAACTTATGCAATGCTTCGGTGGTTCCAGACTTCTACCATCCTAATGAATTATTTATTGAATGTCCCATTTGTTGATTGTCCTGGCTCACTCTGTGTCATTCACCTTGAGTCTCTGTGAGAAAGGTGGACTATAAATAACAGAAATACATAAATTATACACACCCCATGAGCAAAACCAACAGAGCAAACAGTTTTTTGTTTTTTTTTACTAAAGTGTGCATTGATATGCTTTTATTATTGCCCTGGCAAGCTGTGCATTAATGTGAAGTCAGTTTTTTTCATTCCTCATCACCTGCAGTCTTTTGAAATAAAAATCATATCCCTTCTAGTAATTGAAGAAATGCCTAAGCCATTGTTGGATTGTTCTTCAGGGTGCAGCAAAGGTCTACTCAGAATCTTATACAGGCCTATTCAATGGAGCTTACTCCCAAGAAAGCATTCTTAAGATTGTACTGAAGCTCTCTTGTTAAGCTAAGGCTTTTGTAGTTCAGATTGCAGACGATGTGGTAAGAGGTAGGAGGGTAATCAGTTATACAGTATAATTCTGTAAATCTGAGGGAAATTTGTTTATCAGAGAAGGCGGCCTTGCACCCACTGTGTGAGCAAAAGCAGTGAATAAATGTATTTAATTGATACATTTTATGAGGAACTCTTTGCTCCTTGAAATTCACAAGTTTCATAATAAAGTATAGGCATTGGGGTGTTGCCAGGAAGCTTTATGGTATGTAGCAAGCAGCCAGTCATGAGTCATGCAAGTCACATCATAGCAAGTCATACAGTGGCTTCTGCCGGAACTGCCCCCAATGAGTCCTCCCTCAAAGGGCAAAACCCTGGAAAGGGCAAATCCCCTTGCGTTTTCATGGCATGGTAACATGAGTGGGGGGCTGAAACCCATTCTTCCCCTTCTTGCACCATGGCTCCAATACAAATCATGATCTGGCAGCTGGGTGATAAAGTTCCCTGTGGCTGTGGGAAATGTGAGTTGGATCAGAGAAACTCTGACTCGTGACCAAACGTCTTGTGTACTTCATATAACAAATGTCTCATGTACATCCAGCATGAAATTCTAATCAATCATAGGGTCTTGCAACTGATTTGTGCTCTTTAATACTTTTCAAATCACAATTACCTTGAAAGTTGGTCTTTCAGACAGCATGTCAGTTTTAAAAGAAGTGATGCAGGGTTGTGTTCCTGCTCCTTTTTATTTGTTTTATATAAATATTTTAGTATAGCGGTGAACAAAACAAAATTCTTTCCTTCTATGGCCAGTAGTTTCATCTGTTTTACTTTATGCTGATGACAAGTCCTTCATTTTTCATGCGCAAATTGTGTATCAGACTTAGTGTTGAAAGGTAAAACAAAGAATATAGTCTTTGGACCCAACTCACCTAAACAGAGCTTACAGATCACCTCCCATGATACTGAAGAAGTGAAGAAGTTTATTTGCCTGTGTAGTAAAATAAGTGCTACTGTTACCCAAATAGGTCCATGTATCAGGCCTGTCACATGCAGAGTGGTTGTATGTAGAATCATACATGAGTTCTGGGGTAATGAGTTATCTGGAACCATTTCAATCTGTTGTATACATGGATCCTTTTGTAGCAGAATAGCCTTAGAAAGAGGCAGGGCTTTTTTTTTTTCATTCCTGGGAGAATGCACCGGAACAGAGTTCTGGAACCTCTTTGACAAAATTCTTTTAAAGCTCATGATTTTTCAGTATACAGATTGAAAACTTCATTTCCCTTTTGAAAGTTCCAGCATCTCTTTTTCAACAACAACAACAATAAAAAAAAGCCCCTAGAAAGAGGAGACCCAGAGACGAGGTCTTAAACAAGAATGTTTTCCTTATCAGAATATAGAGCTATAATATAAAATCCAAGAGAAAGCAAAAGTGTAAAATAATACTACAATACAATAGCAGAGTCCTAGCTATGCTGCCCTTAGATGCTGCCTAATTGGTGTGAGTGTGGGAACTTAAGGGAAAATAAAGGGAGAAAGGAAAAGCATCTGCTGCCTGTCCTGAAGAGAAGAGTCCAATGTCATGTGGTTTGGGGCATGTGACCTGAACTCCTCTAAGGACGGTTCTGGGAGCCCAATTCTGAATTATCTACAACAGTGGGCGTGGCGTGAGTTCTTGCCCAGTGTATACAGAGGTCAGATTGGCCAACGAAACGCTCCTAATTCCCAGGAATTGAGACAACACGCTAGGTTTATGAATAAATGTTGCCTTTTACTAAACAGTTCTCAAGCATACGAAAACAGATGCATACACAGATTCTCTCAAGATCCTTAGTTACAATCGTTCATAGAAAGCAATCAGCAAGGAAAATAACAAAAGCAACAGACAAGGGGGATGACACAACAGGATATCGCTTATACTTATCTGAGGTCCAAGCTGGGGAGAAATCTCCTTGTAGCAGAAAAGGGGCAGCTTAAGGATCAGCGGGTGAATTCTAAAAGCACACGAGCTGGACCGGCCAGCCACGTGCGGGTTCCTGGGTCGCGACTCCCGGGAACACAGTAAGACTCACCTGCAGCACTTAAGTTGCAAGGTAGGGGAGGGGTGGGTTAACCAGAGAAACAAAGGCTGTGTTCCTCTTTTTAAAAGCTATGTTTTTGGGCTTGGCTTACGGCCATAAACCCTTAGGGTCCGTCCTCTTTGCTAAGGCTATAGGTCAAAGAGTGGTGACGTCCTAATGAGGGGAAGGGGGCAATATGCAGATATGCTACCCTAACTTCAAAGGGGGCCATGTGGCCAGGTGTGAAACTGTTGTTTCCATTGGCAACCTTTGACTTGCAGAAGATGCGCCTGGTCCAGAGGCAATCAAGGAAGTTGTCTTTGTGATTCCAAAACCAGATACCAGGGAGAATTGCGTGCTTTCCCACAGTTCGCCAATGGTGGAAAAGCCAGTTGTTTCTCCAAGTCTCTCATTGTGCATAATGGCGCTGGTCTCCTTTGTCCAGAGGCACTCTGGGAGATTCCAGGGAGGCATGTGTCTTGTGGCAGGCAGCTCAAGCCATGCCCATCCATAGGCAGCATGAGGTGCAAGGCCAGCCATTCAAACACACAGCATCAAAACACACACAGCAGTGATCCCTGAGTCCCAAATGTACAGATACACAGACATTTGACCAACACAGCATAAGCACAGTACAGACAAAATGCAATTGCAAACACATGGTAACAGGCAGGAGAAGAAGAAACTGACCCAAGATGGGGGGGGGGGGTTCTGGAATGAATGGAGGTCCACAACCAAAACAAACTATGGACTTGGGCATAGCGTGATGACCAAAAGCTCACAAGCAGAAGGAGGGGGGATCAGTGATTTCATCAGGGATGAATGAAGTTCCAGGAGCCAAATCAAGTACCAAGAAGGAGATCCAGGTACAGAACCAGCTACAAACCTGGCGGAAACAATTTGCACTGTTCGTTACTTTTGAAGAGACTTACTTCAATGGAGAAAGATAATGTATGAATGAAGAGTTTAGGACCTGCAGGAGGATTGGATCAGTGGTGCTGGGTCTTCTTTCCTATTGGCTTGATGACATTTCCTGGGCTTGTGACTTTCTGGATAAGGCCATGTTGTAGAGAGGGCTCTGGGTAGCTGTGCCAGTTTCATGTGGGAGTGTCCAAGGGAATTTCTGCCAATTTCAGGGACCCCTGACAGGAACAAATGCAGGGATCCCTGTAAGGGGTGACCTTATAAGCAGGCACCTTGTTCTGCTACAGGGAATGTGAAATTTACCTATCTGGTCTAGGCCTCAAGCCACTAAACCTCAATGGGGAGTTTGCTTCTCCTGCTTAATCCTGCCCCTCCCATAGGATTAATTTTCATTGCCACCAGCAGGTGAGGAATTGGAGGTATTTCTGTCTCTTAAGGGACTTCTACAGATCAAATATCATCCTCCTATTCCAAACGCACCATGAAGTTAGAGGAAAGCCTTGGGAATCTCATTTGCTATTAAAACGAAGGTAGGCATCTCCCTGCCTACTTTTGGCATCTTGGTTAGCCTTTTTTGGTTTTCTGGACAATGTCTGATGGAATTGAACCTGGAGGGCAAGCAGCTAGATAGAAGATGAGACAGGAAAAGGTGTATCTACCTATGTTATGGCCCTAACTTGGATGGCCCAGGCTAGCCTTATCTCATGAGATCTTGGAAGCTAAGCAGTGTTGACCATGGTTAGTGCTTGGATGGAAGTTCAGGGTTGCTACACAGAGGCAACCAATGGCAAACCACCTCTGTCTGTCTCTTGCCTTGAAAACCCTACAGGGGTTGTCATAAGTCAGCTGCAACTTGACAGCACTTTCCACCACCGGCATCCATGATTATGAATATTCTTACTCCCCAAACCCAAAAGCATCTCTTAAAAGGACCGCTAAATATGTCTACTGGGATTAAAAAATAATATATACTGTCAGCACTTTGGTGTAGTTATTTGTGGTCTGCATTTTTAAGTGACTGGACAGATAACAGGATCTTTTTCATCCATAGCCAAAACCAGTTGTTTTTGTTTTATCAGCCATGACAACAGACTTCTACAGGATGAGTCTTCATGTGTGCTGTCAGTTTAATTAGTTACTTAAAGTTGTAGATGTTATGACAGTATTCTCCCTTTTAGCCTCTGGAAAGTTTAAGATGAACTTATTCTCATCCCTGAGGACTTGGTTGTAGTGTACAAGGATGCAGAGGGAAAATTTGCAAAATACCTGTCCTTCTGGGTTTTCATGAATTAATGTCTGCCAATGGGAACGAGAAGTTGGATTGGTACTTTTCAAAACTATTTTGTGA